TGAGTGTTGACTGCCATTTTGCATGTCTTTGCTCGTTCGCGAGGGGTCAACTGTAGTGTAGAGAAGGTGCAGGAATCACACTACTCCAGAATGCACTACAGGCTCACCAGTGCGATCCCTGGCGGAGTCCAGCGGAGCGGAATGGAACAGACGACTTGGATCGAAGTGGAGTACCCGGCATGCAATGCATGGAAGAAAGCACAGCGGGCTGAAACGGCTTTATTCTGCGGCCTCAGCGGATGAAGTTGCTCTGCTTCAGCGGATCAAGCTCCACCTTCTTCAAAAAAGTGGCCTTTGGCTTCAAACAGTCTCTGGCAACGACGTTTCATGTCACCAATGGCACTCGTGATGAGGGACTCTGGCAGCTTGCGAGCTGTACGACGCAAGCGTGCCAGGTACTGAGGCCGGGTTTCCCGCTTTGCGGCTGACCACTTGGCCTCTTGGCGCCTGAGGCGCCGGTTGATCTCCGACCAGATACAGAAATCCATGGGGTTCAGGTCGGGGGATCTTTTAGGTATTGCAAAGGTGGAAATGCCGCTCTCACACTTCGCCATCTTGCCCTTGTTGGACTGGAAGCCGGTAGGGTCGTTGTCCTCCAGCACGGCATGCTGACGCTTGCGGGGCCAAGCGCGCTCCACAGCGGCTTTCAAGGGCCCAGCATACATGTCCGCAGCAGCCTGTCCAGTCCATCGGCCGGAGGGAACGACATGCCACAGCAGCACTCTACCCTTCCCGATGGCGCCCATGACCAAGCAGCTCTTCGAGCCTGTGCTTGCGGCCAGACCCTTCTTTGGCTTGACGTAGCCACCACTCAAGCCGCGTCCAGGAGCACGGTAGGCACCGAAGGTTCGATGCTGGGCCGCCATCTTCCTGGCAGCCGACGTCAGGTAGGTTTTGAAGTGCTTTCCATCAAGAAATGCCTGGGTCGGTCGTTGACAGAGATGCTGATTGAAGGGTCTTCTCAGCTAGAGAGACAAAGAAAACATGTTCAGCACACAGCCTAGGAGCATGGACGTTGCAATTCCACCATGACGCAGACTTGTCCTTGTAGCGCTTGGCGAAGGCGAAGCGAGCTCGGATGTCTTCTGCAGTCAGCAAGGGTTTCTCACGAAGTTTCCGAAAGTAGACCCCGCGACGATGCAAGGCCTCCAAGATGATGCGCTCGCTGGCCTTGGTTTTGGTGGCTTTGCGCAACATCTGCACTGTCACGTGGTACTTCGCATCGGCGGAGACGATCATCTGGTGCAGGCGACGTAGAAGCTGATCGACTTGAGGCTCGGTTAGGAGCTGTCGACGGCCCTGCTTCTTACGAGGAACTTGCTTGACGAGGAGGCGGGTGATGACAGACTTGTCACGGCCAAGACGTTGAGCTATTTGCGACGGCGCCAACGATTCCTGATCGTACCACTTCTGAGCAAGCCGGATCTCTTCGGAAGACATTTTCTTCCACGTTCCAACCATGGCTTATGAAGAAAAGCGAGAAGAGGCTATGCTACGCTGGGCGACTGCCTGAGTCAGCTGGGATCTAACAGCAGGGCAACAACAGGGGAAGGCAACGTTCATCAGTCACGTGGCACGCGTGGGCAAGTCAGCGCTTCAACTGCAGGCAATGTCGCGGGCACCTGACGGTGCTAAAAAAAAAAAGCTGCACTGCAGCCACTGTGGCAACCGTAGGCCTTATCCTTTTTCATTTCAGCCAAAGGCACGCCGCAAGTCGTAGCTTCGACCAGCTCTGCTACGACGAAAATGGAAGCTCGACGCTGCAGGTCTACCCTGGAAGCCAAGCAAACACTTTTGCTCGGACAGGGCGTCGGCCTACGTAGTTTTGAACCGTACATAGCAGCATGCCGCGCCTAGGAACTTGCGGTATCGCATTCTTGGACATGTGTTGGGCTCAGCTTACACGGACGATGTTACCCGTCACAGGAAGCACGGTAATGTCTAGCAAACACACAGGCTGCTTTTGTCATCTCAGCAGAAGGATCCTGTCGGTTGATGGAGGAAATCTTGCACCACCTATTTAATATCAAGTGACGCGACACGTGAGCATAACCCCGCACCCCCTTTTTAATATTGACGACGATGACTACCGAGGTGGTGCAAGATTTCTGTCATTGGAACCCACGGCGCTTCGGAGGATCAAGAGTCAATATTAAAAAGGGGGCGCGGGGTCTCTGCTTTGCTCGGCCACTTAAAGTGGTGCAAGATTTCCTCTATCAACAGTACCTCACAACATCGTCGCAGTAAGCACGATGTGTGAAAGAAGTTCTGAGCGACCAGTCCTATGCCCTTGAACCGAGTTTAACATACAAAACAAGTTCTGAGCGAGCAGCTCCATGCCGGTATCGAGTCTACGAGGCGGCGTAAGCTTAGTTTGTTTGGCTTTCTGTGTGAGAAACGAACAACTAGTAACAACATTTGAGCAAAACTTGTGTGACAGAAGTTCTGGCTCAGACGTGCGAGCTTGCAGAGAGTGGTCCGCTTTTCAGACGGTGGCGCATTAGCTCTGTGAGCGCGGAGTTCACTCGCATAATGCAAGTGGTTGAAGCAGCTAGTTCATTGGCACTGCGTACGAATTAAGAAGTCGAGCGAAGCAGGTCGCACACTCTGGAATCTTACAAGTGCTCACGGGGAAGGGCACAGTAAACGTGAAAAGGCGAAGACGGCGCAGCAACATCGTCCACTCACTGGGCTTACCCAACTGCGCGGCTTCGTGGGCCTTGGAAACAATGGGGGCTAGCTCCTTTTCTTTACAAGTCACGAAGATGGGAGCTGTGCCTTGATAGAGAAGATGCCCATTGAAGTCTTTGTTCTGTGGCCTAGTCAAAGGAAACGGTTTGCCTTCATACCAGAGCAGCTGCGTGGGGAGCGCCAGAACCGATGTGTCAAAGGCCCACTCATCCAGCAGAACTGCTTTCCGGCGTTCAAGGCCGAGCAGCGGGAAGGATCCGGGCTGAGGCGTGGCCTGCACATTCTCCACACCAAAAAGAGTGCGGAGCGGGGAGAGTAAGAATGACTTGCCCTCGCCACCAAAGCGACCCATGAGGACGACAACTGGGACATCTTCACGCCTTCCCAGCAAAAGGCTGCGCTGAAGATGCGAGCAGATGTCCGGAATGTGGATGTGGTTGCGCTGTAGCAGTTGGACCGCGCACTGGAGCCACATCCCACCGCACTGGCAAGGCTCCGTCAAAGCTTGCTGCAAGCGTTGCTTCCGCGTCAGGGCGTTGGCCTGGAGAAAGTCGTCAACATTCTCCCAAGACCAGACATCGTCGATGATGCCTGGAAGCTTTTGCCGGTTCTTGAAGGCAAAGCTCACCAACCCCGGGGATCCATACTGCTTCAACCACTGGATCAATCGCTCTGCGGCCGTGTGGTCGTCGTCAGTGTTGCGAAAGCCATGCCGTACAATGATGGCGTAGAGGTCAATCTCGGATGGCCTCGGCTCCGGCTTGCCTTCCTCATATGCCGCTTTGACCTTGGTCTCCCGTCGCCTGCTCAAAGCGTTTGCAGTTGTAGGCTCCTGGCAAACCTCAAACAACTTGCGGTGGCAGCCATCTCGCGCCCAGGTGAAGGGGCTTGGGTCCAAGGCATCCTGCGGCTTGGTAGGACTTGGCAGGTAGCCGTACCTCACTGCAGACCAGTACCCCGTGCGTGAGCAGCTCCAATGGCTTGCTATGCCATGGTGCACAGAGAGAGCACGCTTGAAGGCAGCGAAGCGGAAACAGGAGGACGCCTTCAACGCAATGTGCCAGTGAGCTGGCCCACGGGCCTCGCCATCTCTGGGAGCATGATGCTCTCGGAAGACGACGAATGCCTCCAGCTGCACTGAGTGGCCCCATGCTGCGTTGTTGTTGCTGCAAACAGGCCGCTGGAAAGCATCCAAGAGCACACGTGCCACAGTTTCGTGGTCCCAAGTGCTCGGACACTGCAGTCCAGGCTTGGAGTCGGCATCGCTCAGGCGGCGGAGCGCTGGCAGCGTGACGAGATAGACTTGCTTGGAGGCTTGCGAGCACTCCGGCTGCAGGCTTTCCTCCTGCAGATAAGAATATTGCTGCACAGGGACCAATGGCTCATCTGCGTCCGTCTCTAGACGGAAGCAAATGCGCTTGTGCCATGCAGGTTCTTCATCCAGCAGCTCGAACCCAAGCCAAGTCTTGTCCCTCAACCGTCGCAGCGGTCGACTAAGCACGGCCGGCATGGCAAGAAGGACTATAGTCTGCGTCTTTCCCTGACAGGTCTGTGCCAAACAAGCGCCAGTTGCCAGCTTGTGCGGTCATGCTGAGCAAAGGCTTTGCCGGAGTAACTTCTACCCAAGATCTACAGGAGTGGTGTTCCCCCTTCCTGGTCGAAAGCGCGAGCTGCTCCCGGCCGCTAGGATGTGTAACATTCAGTGTTTCAACCAGGCACAAATTTACAAACACGTAGGATTGCATGGCCGTGAAGTCGGCATTCAACTTGCCCGTGATTGCCCCAGCGAATTAAGAGCGGAGTGATTGGACTAC